GACAATGCCAGGACAAAGTCAAACAGGCCAGAAAACATTGGATTTTAGATGTGCACCAGCTTTGATTTGTAGCTTCAGTGAGGGTTGATAAAACAGACAGAAATTAAAACCAATAACTTTTTATGTCCTGCAACAGCAAACTAGACCTCTGGCAACAAGATTCATTATTTACAGATTATGCAAATGTACATCGGACACCCATGTAATATCTTTCTTGTCTAAACAGTGAGCAGGGGTGGTGAAAATATGCCATGTAAGCATACATGCAAGTTGCTAAGGGAAACAGTAGTTCTTGTTTGCTCATCATCCGTGCTTGAATTGCCCTTTTTTCAGCTTAAAGCTCCTATGAGGAAGTTTTTATGTTAATAAAATCAAATGAAATTCATATTGATGCCTTTTCATGACACCCAAAAGCAAATAAGAACATCAGGGGCAAGACTAGTAATTTGTATCGTAACTTTTAGCACCCGGTAACTGGAGGGATGGGGTAAGCGTCGGGTAAGATTCTGCAGAGACAGCTGTTTTTGCAATCTGTATTTTGAATATCCACACGAAATGATACATTTAAGCGAAGATTGCTTTGTCCACAGGGGGCGCCAAAGTTGGCACAAATGGGAAGTTCCTCATAGGAGCTTAAATAGTTTTGAAAGTCTGGAAGTTTAACTGTTATGGGCACGTTATATATAGTGATTAACATTTAAAGGACATAATTATCCAATCTCCAACAAAAAGTTATTCATACACTGAAACATGTTCACCAAAAACAATTAAACTCGGCTGCTGTGTGCCGTTCTTTGATGGTTTTTCAAAAGCACTAATATAGACAGTACATTTTTAACATTACAAAGCAAAAGCACGTCATTAAAAACCTCCGCTGACATATTTAATCATTGATTAACTAGCAGGACATTTCATTTTAGCTCAGCATGGTGTGGAAAAATTGCCTGCGGTTGCTACGGTATCCTGGTACAGTGAGGTCTTTTTGATATGAACTGATAACCAAACATGAATGATGTACTCCCTCTCAACAAGGAGGTTAATTAGCAGATTATTTGATTGTTTCTTGAGGGGGAATTTGACGGTGTTATATTGATACAGTCTCTTAAAGGTGAACAAACTCCATCAGAGTACACAGTCCTTTTGTTTTTTCTCTCTCTCTTTCCAATTAGCTGTAACAGAGTCAGTGTGGTCTTTAACGGCTGCTGTTCAGGACACAGTCAGGATTTCGCTCCTGGGTCTGACATGTCACAAACTTTGTGCACCGTCCAATTAATGAAAAGCAGGGCAAAATTCATGTGGGCAAATAGGGTGAAGTCTGTGGTCTCTAAATTAGAGGTGATGGGATATTTTCTCTCCTGTAGCCTTACAGAGGGACGTCTTACCTTCTAAAGCAACAGGTTTCATATCCAGCAGTCCGGACTGTCAAAGCAAAACATTTTACCATCATAGGGTTTGTCACTTTGGTCACTTTGAGGATGATTTTTTTTTTCTGCTGTTGGTCCCGACCAAAAAGGTTTCTGCTGAGTTACATACTGGGATGAGTTACACAAAGTTTAAAAACTGAGTTTGAAAACCTTCTGTAAACTATGGGCAACTTTTTTTGTGGCAATTAGAGGTTGTTGCTGACAAGAACAGACACAACCGTTTGGCTTTGTTCATTCACCAGGGGTTTGTTTCCAAACTGTCTGCCGGCTGATTGTCTCGTTGTTTCAAACTCATGAGTGATGTTCTTGCTTTGTTCCCGGATTTCTTCAATAACTCAATCAACCGGTTGGTCAATTTTCATTTGAATGAGGCTAACTCTAATGACGAAGTGTTAGGGCTGTGTGTTTTGTTAAGTCGTAATGAAGTAATTACTTGCAAAAATAAAGTGATAAATCCATTTCTTACGAGACTAAAGTCGTGATAAAGTAATTACTTATGAGAATAAAGTCAACTTTACTCACTTTCCTCTTGTGATTACTTTCCTACGACTTTATTCTCGTTAATTATTACTTTATTAAGACTTTATTCTTGTTAGTAATGATTTAATTACGGCTTTATTCTTGTAAGTAATTCCTTTATTACGACTTTAGTGTGGTTAGTAATGACTTTATTCTCGTAAGTTAATGACCCTAATCTCAAAGTCTTAATTTAAAAAAAAAAAAAAAAAGAGGATCTAGACGTCTTTGAGTCGTATGTGTTTTTTACAGTCAGCAGAGCCCTTTGCATCACTAGGTAGGTAACTTATTTTTAGTGGGCGTAAAGCTCCAGCAGACTCAGTTATTGAGCTTAAAAGTAAGATAGAGAGAGAGAGATTCATGAAGAGAGAGAATGATTTGAAAGTAAAGAGTAGAGTTTAAAGAAGTGAGTAGAGCAACAAAATCGTGAAGGAACTTTTTCATTCACATTTCCAGGTAAAATCACCGTATATTCAGGTCTAAGAGAGCAAAAGCAGAAACCTTTTCTTCTCAATGCAATGTATTACTTCAGTCAGTTCAAGTGAATCAAGGTCTCAGATGTATAATATTGAATCTCACTACTGTAACTATCTCATCTCAGATATGCGCTCCGATGACCTGAAAACATCTCTGAAGTGTAGTTTCATGCACACAAAGATAACATCGAAGCGGAGTGCAGAGATAAACTCACCTCCGATGCGGACACCTCCACTCATTCTTGACACCGGCAGATTTTACAAACATCCAGGAGGAAAACATTCATGATTATTATATATATGCTCATTTAATTCTCCTAAATCTTTATGTATAACTCACTGAGTTTACACGTCCTTCAACAAATCGATGAGTCAGTGAGTCTGGCTGAAACCAGCATGGAAACACCTGAGTTCAACTGCGGTCAGACTAACATACAACATAGATAATGAAGTTTCTGGAAAAGTCATTTAGGTTTCGTAAAAAAAAACAAGAGTCAAAACAGCTTGTTAAAGTGCTGCATTAGGTCTAATTGACAAGGCCATTTAGCTGTCTAGGTGTAGTAAATCCATGCTGCTTTATTATATTTCAGTGTGACGATGTTTGAATTCTATTAGCAGATACTTTTGTCCAAAATATATTATGTCTGGGCAGAAAAACCCTTCACAAAATGCTCTGATTTAGCACACGTCTTTTCTATTATACTGTTTATGGAACGGCACAGGCTCTGTTGCTGCTGGTGGGGATAAGTGTTTTTCAGACTGCATTGAATTGATGTGAAAGTGTTTCATGGGCAATTACTTGTCTTTTTCTTTTGTTAGATTTCTGTACAAAGTGCTTTTATCTCCTGTTTAACAGCGACGTCACTCTTCAAAAAGATCATAACACTATCAATGAGTGGCACTTTGGCTAACTCTGTTGTTGTCTTCAAACCCTCCCCCCCCCCTGTCGTCCACAGGTGAGAAGCCATTCGAGTGCAAGCTGTGCCACCAGCGATCCAGGGACTACTCGGCCATGATCAAGCACCTGCGCACCCACAACGGCGCCTCGCCCTACCAATGCACCATCTGCCTGGAGTACTGCCCCAGCCTGTCAGCCATGCAGAAGCACATGAAAGGCCACAAGCCCGAAGACATCCCTCCAGACTGGCGCATAGAGAAGACCTACCTGTACCTCTGCTACGTCTGAGGCCGGAGAGAGAATGAAGAGATGAGAGGGAGGTTATGAGTGAAGGGAGGGGAAGGGTGTGAGAGGTAAAGGAGAAATTTAGCGAAGAAGAGGGGAATTAAGGAGTGTTGACGATCAAGGAATGTCAACAGCAAGAGACTTGAAAGCAAAAGGAGTTTGTTTTCTCTTTTTTCTGTTCGTGCCAAGGCGGCAACGACCGACTGACGGGGTCAAAAGGGTGGTGATGATGGGACAAAAGTGCTAAGAAGAAGAAGAGGAAGACTTGGACACGGAGAGACACTCTCCACCATTGTTCGGATTCATCGGGTCATTCACTACATCTGCAACTGTGTTTATTCTTTCAGGTCATTTTCATGCAGCACCAGAAAGCGAGAAAGCTGCAAAAAAGTGATTTTTTTTCTTTTTTGGTTGCTGCTGCCAGGAATGAGAATGCAGATTCTCAAGGGCTATCTGAATCAAAACGGTCGTGACATCAGGAACTCCACCTTTTACTCCCGTTTGGTTTGAAGTCTTTTTTTTAATACTACTTTAGTATTGGTTTGTCCACATTGTTATAGCTCATTGAATCACATGTGAGAATGTGACTTTGAGCTTCAATTTAGGCCCCAAAGTCATCATCACTTACAAAAACTTATGGTCACGTCCATACTTCTTTTTGAGCGTGAGGAGTCTCAAAGATGAATTGAGACTTTTTTTTTTTTTTTTTACTTTAACAAAGAAGCTGACTTATAGAAATCCAGGCTTCCAATGACATTGGGTGAGTTCTCCACGATTTCTCCCCGATGGGAACTGTATCTGTTTGGCAGCTTCCCATCATTTTCTTTCTGTGTATAAGTCACACACCCTCTAAGTCTTCTGCAGATGAGATCCTTCAGATTTCATCCGTGATGGTGAGATAGCCCCTGAGAATCGGCAGCCGAGCCGGTATGCAGTATACTTAGCAGTTGAACTGGATGAACGGGAGAACTGAAATACTGCAAAAGAAGCATCTATTTGGTTGAAAAGGGGGGAGGGAGGGAGGGGAGGCCAGTTTCTCAGTAGTCTTCCTGGCTCTACATCTCTGTCAGATGAGGGTTGGCGGAAGTCAAGTCATCGCTGGCCACCGACGGTTCTCGGCAGAGAGCCAAAGGCTAACAAGAGTCACTTTTTCATTGTATATTTTTTTAAGCTCTGCATCATAGTTTATCATGGCTTGATTGCACAGGTAAAACAAATCACGACAACAGTCTCTGTTTGATGTCTTCAAGTTATATCTCTTTCCATTACACCATTACTCACTATTACAGTAAACGCCACATTAAACCCAGCCTATCCACCTACTCAGCAATAGATTACTGGACTGCTTATATCCATGTACATTAACCTGATGACTTTCGTTATCTCACACTAATGACAAAACTACACAAACTGACAAACGGTAACACTCTGACCACAGCAGATCGGTCCATCCACCACAGTGATGGAAGACACAATGGAGAAACGGTAAATCGCTGCTTTCCGAGGGGAGTCCTGTGACTTCAACTGCTCGTAGTGAATGTTGAAGACGTGCTGGGAATGCCTTAGCTGCACACCTTTTGTCGAAGGTGGCGTGGCTGGTTGAAGACTGTTATATGGCATCAAAAAATATGAATGTGAAAGACTGTGAGCCGGGTTCATACTGGGCTGTGTAAGGTCAAAAAAGTGAGCTAACGCTGCCTACAAGAACAGTTTCTGTATCAACACAAAGGTTGTGATTTCATGAACACGTTTCATTTAGTATCTTCACATGGCGGCCTTTTTTTTCTCACAACAGGGTCAGACTTCTTAATTCATGTTATCATTCAACTTTCATTTGCAGATTATCTAAGAGGCTGTAAAATGACAATTTGTCAAAATTGTTCATACCTGAAAAAGGATGTCGTGACAGAAATTAAGTTCCTCGCCTTGCACATAATGTCAGAAACTAGCCGCCATGTGAATGTGGTGACTTCCAGTAAAGAGTGTTTTCTCTTTCCAATATTAAATTTAGTTTCTTTTTCATCATCAGCGTTGGCTCCGTTTGACCTGCACAGCCACAGTTCTCATGGTTGAACCTAAGGCTTTATTTAGCGTCACTGCATCGTCACAGCGTTACGGGGATGATCACAAATCCAAATGGCCGGTGGAGGAAAAAAAAAAGGGGCGGGGGGGGGGAATCACTGTTAGGACGAGACACGGCCCAGCAGCTCAGGGGGCGACAACAGAATAAATCAACTCCTTCTCTGTGGTTTTGTCCCTGCGCTTCGTCTCTCGTCTCCTGTTGTTGTTGTTGTCGTCGTTGTTGTAATCGTTGTTGTTGTTGTTATTATTGACCTTGAGTTTGATCTCAACACATCGTACTTGAATTACCTCGTTTCGTGACCTCATGTTCTTGTGTATTTTTTAATTTTCCCTTTTGTTTCATTCGTACACTTTTGCTTTGTTGATAAGTGTGTGTCAGAAAAGATGCATTGAAGCAATGTGTACGCAGAGAAAAGTGCCACGGTGAAGAGATTTTTTTTTGTTTGTTTTTCTAATGCTGTGTATTTCTTTGTGCATTATTTGTTACCAAACTTGGTATATTAACCCCGCTTGTTAATGAGCCGGACGGTTTGGTCATTTGTTATAAAAGCTACCTCTAAGTTGTTTTTCATTTTTTGGCAAAAGCACATTTTTGTGTGTGTTTGTGTTTTGCATTATTTCATCATTGCTACTTCATCTCGTGCTTTTTTTTTTTTTCTCAAAAGTTGATTTATGATTGTGTTTTTAAGCAAATGTATATAAAAGGGTAAGAGATAACAAACATAGAGGTTGATAGGATTGGGAAAGTCATTCAAATGGATGTTTATTCTACTCTTATAGTCTCCCCCTGCACCTCCGACAACAGACGAGCAGAGAAAAAAAAAGCAATTTTGAAGCCTTAAGTGACGAGAAAGAGGGATGCGGCAGATAAGAGGAAGTACTATTGCTTTTTAAGAGGGTTTAAAAACAAGATTAAACTTGAAAATATGTGAATAGAAGTGTAGTTTTGTAATGTGAAAAAAGAAAGGTTCATCAAAAAGCGCTGAACCACCCAGTGACAGGTCATAATTGCAGTGATGCAGAGTGCGTTGGACAATTGGAACTGCAAGTGGTAATCAAAAAAAAAAAAAAAAGAAAAACCAGAAGGTTCAAAACAGAGATTCTCTCGGCTGATAAGCTCTCTCGAGACATGAGTGTATTCCTGAAGAAGAGCCAACAGAGGCAATTTGATATATAAAAATTGTGATATTTTTGTATTCAGTGTCAGTCCTTTTTCCATTTGTGGAGGGTTACAGCAGGGCACAAATATTTGTATTTCTTTTTTTTACCTGTTTTATTTTCTCTCTCTGGGTGTGAATCATTTTGGCCTTGCTCCTCTTTGATATTGTTGGACAAAAAAACACGTGTGTGAACATATTGTAATAATAAGTGTTGCTTTCTGGATGTCAATTGCATTGTAGGTGAAGGACTAAATCTATCCGCCACAAATTTTACGAGTGTGTGTGTATGTGACAAAGTGAAAAAAAAAATCTCTGAAAAAAAAAAAAGGTGATAAAAAAACGGGACGGCAGGGGGATGCTGCCAAACCGACCAATTAGTACTTGTCATTCACGGTTTTTCAATCAAACTTGACTGTCAACATGTTTTTGTTTTTATTTTTTTTTGTTTTTGTATTTGAAAAAAAAAGAAGGGATGGCATGTCCCGTGGTGTCTTGCCATTTTATTCTCAAACACTGTGAGCTGAGGGGCTTTTTCACCCTCGTGTAATATCCACCCACTATAATATACCCAGACACACAGCCCAGTCTGAACCACCACAATGCAAACTGATCAGTCACATTGTTCCTATCATCGTCCTCTGAATGTTTTCTACTTCCTTGTGCGGGTGAAAGAGTGTGTCAAAGAGTGCGTTACTATGTGTGTGAAAGTTTGTGTGTGTGCGCGTGTGTGTGTGTGTGTATTAGTGGAAAAATGCACTAATCAGATCAGATACAAAATAAAATGATATTCTATGCCACTTTTTTTCTCTATGTTGGAAAAAAATATATGTATACATTGGCATCGTTATAGTTCTTCCCTCAGTGTTCCTCCGATGTTTCTGTACTATCTTTGTGCCTAAAAATGGAATTTGTTCAACAAAAATATCCATCTATATCTGCTTAGTTTCTGTATTTTCAGAAGAAAATAAAAATGGTGTCTCCAGCACACTAGGGATGTCATGACGCTCGAAGATGACCTGATTTTTTTTTGTTTGTTTTTTTTTTATCCTTACTAGAGCAGGGCTTTTTCTTTTTTCTTCTTCTTCGAGGACTGCAATAAACCCGTAGTGCTATTGAAATAGCAAAGGGATTCTGCATCTTTTTTTGGCCATATTCTGAGATTGCCGACAAGAAACAAAGCGTAGGAAAAAACTAACAGAAAAAAAAAATCTGCTCCTGCGAGAAAATTCAGCCCCCATCTCGACTCAGATTATATTTTTTTCTCTCTCCTTTGTTGTCAGCAACAGGTTTGCTGATGAGAACTTTATTGCTCTCGAAAAATACGATTAAGAAAACCTCCATTTGGGTAGGTTAGCACTAGGGAATCCCCTTCTGCTTTGTTTCAGTTTTTTAAAAAGTACTTTTTCCCTGTTTTGTTTTTTTTTCTACAAATGCGTTTAGGAGGGGGGGTGTAAAATTCGTCAGAGAGGAATCATGGCATCCCTGGAGCTGGCACTCTGTGTTTCGGTGTGGTGTTTCTAGAACAAAAGTAGCCATTTCATGCAGTGTTGCAATGCATGTGCCATCGAGGTCTAGACTAAAAACTGAGTAACAAAGCACCAAGACATTGTATTTTTTTATATTAGCACTGAGGACCAATTGCCCTGTCGGACCAAGCATAACAAAGCTTTTTATGTAACAAAGCTTTTGTCTCTCTGTCTTTCCCTGGCTTGTCTGTGCTACTTCTCTCCTCCATTGTTGTGACAGCACAAGTGCCAGTCGAGTTGCTCTGTATTAAGAAAATAGTGTTTTTATCATGATTTGAATTGTTATAGTTTTTGTCTACCTCAGCACCTAATCTTAGCCTAATCTTAGAAGGTGCCCAATTATTATTTTTTATTTTCTTTATTTTTTTGTTCTCCTATTGTTGTCGGTTGTATAAGTTTTTGAAAATTTGCATTAGAGCTTTGCAAAGGTCCTTTGTCTTTTCCAGCGACAACGTGCTATTTTTGTTTTCTCTGTGGCAGTACGTTTCCTGTTAAGCTGTGCCACCAATCTATAGCCACCGTCTGTTGATATAGAGGTTGTTCTTTTTTGTTTCTTTCCATGTAGAATCAGACACCTCTCTTTGTAACATTTCAGTGTTCTCTGATGGAGTGTGAAAAAAAAAATAAAAAGGAAAAATAAAAGATTTAATGCTGCAGGTCCTCTTCTCCATGTTGTCACTAAAGTCAATGTTGTGCCTTTGATAGTGAAAATATAAAGAATATTTCTTTTTCTACATCCTACTAACAGTAGATTGTTTTTGTAGTGGATATTTTTTGTATTTTTATTTATGAGTCTCATAATAAAAATCAAATCATGATGTTCAGTTGTATACTTTCAATCTGCGGTTAGAAAAAAATAAAAAATGGACTCCATGTTGTCTGTCCTAGCCCTGTTTCTGGCTCTATATTTGTTTCCTGATTACTCTTTTAAAGTACAACAAAAAAAAACAAAAAATATTAAAGCTGTGTGCATTTGATCTATATCATGGATACTTAAGCTGCAACTTGAAAAATATATGTGATTATAAAATCAAAGTATTCTGATCACAGTCTCATCATTAATTTAGTTTCTATTTACAGAAACCCTGAGATCAAAGCTTATGAGACCCCCTTAATGAAATGTTTTTGTGCCTTGGTTATACGAAAAGAAAAAAACCAAGGTTACTAATACAGCTACTTTCCAATTTTTAAGACTTTATATTAAAAGAGCACCTTCATATTTAATGGAAATGCACACTAAGTAGAGCGCACCACTCAGCTGAGCATTTATAAGCTTTGAATAGGTATTTACCCCTTCAATTCTCGTGATCATGAGGTTGCATAAAGCAGAAAGAAGAGCTTGTTTGTGCTGGACTAGTATTTTTGCACATGGATGTTATGTAAAAAAAAAAAAAGCTGATATTCAGTCAAACTGAAAGCTTACAGGAATGTCTACTTTGGTGGATACAGATCATTTTAAAATAAATCAACAGTGTGCAACAAAATAAGCCTTCATGAGGGCCTGTGTCCACTAAAGGCATTTTTTGCATTGTCAGTAACCAGAACCTCAATATCAGGGTGTTTCATATCAGCACTTTAAAGGTGGGGTAGGCAGGATCTGAGGAAGTGCCAGTTTTTGGGAGAAATCTTGAATGTAAACTCTACCCCTCCCAACCAGTTTTCCCCTCAGCTCCTCCTCTCCCCTCCCTCTCTGCTCCAGCAAGCCCCGCCCACAAACAGACGCTCCTGCTTGCTCGTATCATTTCAATTAAAATCAGATAAAATGCAGATAAATACTTCAGATGATTACAAATGGGGCCCAGTCAACGTGAAAGTCAAAAGCATTGGTGCTACTGTAGATGCCAACAGACTACCAGCAAACACAATGTTTGCAAGACTTCTACAACTAGGATAAAGTGACATAGTCCAGGACCCGAGGTCAACAGTTTAGCGGTGCTACAACACGCAGCAGGTCCCGTTTGACAGGAAGCACTTGTGTTACAAACACTTGGCTTACTTTGTTAAAGTGGTTTACCTGTCCAGCAGAAAGGTTTCAGGGTCCTTAAGTTCCCGAAGCCTCCCTCCATCGTTTATGCTGATCGTTGACCCGGCTTCTTAGCTCTTGTCCGGTCTACCTCCTATTTAAGCGCCCGTTATTCCACCAGAGTCTCCGGTATTTACTTTGTTCTCTTGCTTATGTTGGCAGTCGTGGCCAAAGGAGGTTTCAGACAATTTTCTGTACCTGCTGGTTTGTTTCTACTGTCCGATATTGTAGCACGCTAACTTTGTTTGGGGTCGTGAACGACACGGGGGAGCAGCGTCTGCCTCACAACCAATCAGGATGGGGGAGGCGGAGAACGACTTTGCTTACAGTCAGAAAGAGCGGCCACTCAAAAATTTAAAAATTGTTGACTACACAGACATAACAAAACACAGCGATATCGTTATATTACCAACTGTCATCATTAACTCATAGCTATTGACTGATATTAAAAGCTTTTTTGTATATAGGCTACACCACAAAAAAAAAAGCTTCTTTAACGGAATCCTGCCTACGCCACCTCTAAGTCGCTAGGTTATAAAAGTTGTCCCACTGCATATATGCTTCAAAATAATAAGAGACAAAATAATCATGATAGAT